ATACACGGTCAATATCAATTTATGCCCAGAAGCGTCATTCACCCTTGTGTGCAAACACGGCCCGGCAGAATCTCAAATTACTAACAATCTCGCCAATGAAACGAGTATGACACGGGAAGCATAGCCGATGCGAATTTTGTCGCCTGCCGCCTTCATTCCAGCTGACCACAAACCGTAAATGGCCGGGCCGGAGTAACGAAAAGAGAGAGAGTGCACTGGCCTGTCCCGAAATAAAATAATGTCGGTGTAATCCTAGTTTTTGGCCGGGAGCTTTGCTCGACTCCATTAAATTATCGCCGTTCTGCAACTTAAGGTGATTATCCGCCGTTGAATTAAAAATCGGCGCGATTAGCGCACTTAACGTAACAAATTTTTTGGAACGCTACTGGCACAATTCCAAAGTACTCGAATTATTAGAAAACGCAAAATTCTCTGTAGTGTCTTCCTTTTTTTTGCATAGGCACTCATAAAAATCATTGCAAAATATAACAAACTGCAAATTTCACACGATTTTGAAATGGGAAATTACGAATTTGTAATCATTTCGACGTAATACAAAATAACGCCCATTCGCGGGAAATACAAGTTAAACCAATTCCAACGTGTTTTGTGAATGAATCACTCCTGAAAAAATTAAGACTAGGTCAAGAATTTAAAATTAGCAGATCCAACTCAGAAGTCACAGGTAACATATGTGCAATTTTGTCGCTCTCATTCTGTTAACATTTTCAAATATTTCCAAACATTTGGGCATAGCATTGCAATATTTCAACTTTTGCATTTGATTTGAAACTATGGGAAGCTGCTGTGACTGTGAGGCGGTGAGAAGGACGCAAAAATCACGATGGCTTGTTGCGGAATAAAAACAAGACATTGGATCCTAACACTCGGAGAAATTGCTTAAAAAAACCTTAATTCACCCATTCATCCTTTCAAAGTGACCTGACGAATTTAGTTTTTTGGCAACGTCGGTGGTGCAAATTGGACACTTGATTTTACAGAGAAAATCACTGCGAAAACATAATTCAGCTCATTCATCTCCAATTGCTGGGTCGCTAGGGGGCGTTTCTCGAATTTAGTCGATTTATTTAATGCCCCACAACTTTCTTATTATTACGATAATTGAGTTTGGACAAATCTTTTTTAGAGTACTTTTTTATGTAGAATCCATAAACAGTTTTTATACAGGGTGTTTTCTCTTTCTTATACGACCCGAAACTACATTGTTTCATACAGACCACCTTATATATTGTGGACTTTTTGAAAAGAGCGTAAATTTCCTAAATTTTGATGTATCACTTGTTATATGCTAATATCGGGTGATCAAAAAGAACTGCAGACAGTTTAAATTGGACGCTTTAAGTTTTTAATGTTTTTTACTTAAGGAATTGGCAAACATGTTTAGAAGGTAGTTTATTTATCTATTAGTGATTAAATTGATCCACCACTGCTTTTACATAAATGACTTTTGGTATGTTACCAACGTTATACATGTTTAGTTTTACGGAAAATTCAAACTGTCCGCACTACTTTTTGATCACCCGGTATATTGTATATTACGTCGCAAATGTTTTTATTGCAGACATCTAGGTTTCCATGGATAACAAAAGATGATAGGATTATTTAAAACGACAGTTGGTTATTGGTAATTGGACCGAATATATGCCAGAATACTTTGAACTTTTTTGTTGTCGATTTTTCTAAAGTCAACAATATCGAGTACCAAACGAAATCAGATAATTTCGGGTAAGATATCTAGTTACCTGTGTATTTTTTCAAAAATCAAAAAGGGAATTTACATGAGCTCGTAACATTGCAATTCTTTCACCATCTAACCGTCTCTCTATCTCTGCTAGTTTCCGCAATCCTTACACCAGACATAGGAAAAACTCGCCCCGGATAATGATAATGTCGTAGCAAATATTCATATTGTAGCGAGTATCCCCGACATCGGGGCGCAATGAAGACAATGAGATTTGTCACCGGTGATAAGCAATAGAAACGGATGTGGCGCATTCTTTCCGTGAAATATGATACGCCACGCCGTCTAGCTAGATTCTACGAGAAAGTTCCGTGATTTTTTTGAAACTCCCTTTGTTTGCTATTTAAGGAACTTGTATCAAGGTGTTTGAGCTCGTGTTTGAGTGATTCATATTGTGGGAAAGTGTGATATGTTCTCAATTGAATTAAGGGTGAGGGAGGTAGGTAGCTGTAGTCTTCGGCCAGATGAATCCTTCATACGGCGCAAGTGATAAATAGTGTTCATCTTATCAAATAAATGTTTGTTGATCAGATAAAACCTTTTACCCTGATTATGAATTTACGAATTGCGTATTTTTAAAGCACTCAAAAACTATAAAAATCGGAATTAGGGTTTCCAGTATTTGTGTTGTCAAAAACATCGAAATAGGTACCTATAGAACAGTTGCCGCAGCTGCTTTTGCTCGCCAGTCAAAATTCTCGAAACATTGGGCGCGTTCACCAAAATATTATATATAAATATTTCGGTGTAGCAATGCTTACGTTCACCAGACGAAGAGCTTCATGAGCGCTACCTAAAGGCGTAAATACTCTTAACAAGATTTCTCGCGCGAGTTGCTGTCTGATAGCACTGTCAAGGTGTAAATGCCGACTTAACGGTGGTATGTAAACTTCAACATTGCTATCAGACCGCAACTCGCGCGAGAGACTTTTCTAGAGTCTTTCCCGTCTTTAGGTATGAAGCGCTTCGTCTGGTGGACGTAAGGAATGTTTCTGACAGTTTCTTTGCCTTTATAGATTGTAAGGTTAGGAACCATGGAGACATTTCTTTGACGTTTTAACCATAGATGCTATTAATAAAGAAACACATAGCGCACATAGATATGGGGATTCTTAAATTCTTATATTGAGCTATTTTATTTATTTATTTATTTCCCTTGTGCAAATTGTAATAAAGGACCAAAATTGGCTACACTAACCTTCCGTATCTTAAACACAATTCGGTCAAAAAAAATTTGAGGGAAAAATATTGATCTTTACGTCCGCTGTAAGCATTTGAAAATCAAGGGTCAGCGCGAAGAGAAAAAACGTACCTGTGCGCGAGACTCTTCCGCGTGACGTCAGTAGCCTACACATTTGCCGCCGCGCTGGCAGAGTATACGAATTCACGTAAACTGGGACCGATTTATTTATTGTATTTATTTGTGCAGAATGCTGTAAGGTTATCAAAAAGTTGATTCGCGAAATTAGTTACCAAATGTGAGTGTGGAAATGATGTAAGAGTTGTATAATTCCACTACCGGATTGTTCTGAGGTTCATTTAAATTTGCATTAGCCGAAAACTCCATTTCCACATTAACATTGAATAAATCTCGCCAATCAACTTTTTTTATACCCTGGCAGCATTGCGCACACAGCTTCGGGCTGACCCTTGATTTTCAAATGCTTACAGCGGATGTAAATATCAATATTTTGCCCTCAAATTTTTTGTGATCGTTTTTTAAGAACAAACTCTCCCGATTTCAGTAAAAATTAATGTTGAACCTGCCTATTGCGACCGACGGAAAATATGTACAGTCATTGACAAAAGTAATGATCGCCTAATAGGTAAATCTTGCAGCATACGCAACTAACATTGGAATATATTGTGCAACTTTGAAATGCGAACCAATAAGGTATCTCCTTGAAGAAACTGACGGAGCCCGATGTGATAGGCATATTGGTTGGTTATGCTGCAGAGTTTACCTATTAGGCGATCATTATTTTTGTCATTGACCGTGCATATTGATATTGATCATCATTTGGGGACAGTGGTGCCCAAAATCTTTGGATGTACACTATTTCCTTTAGAAAATTGAAGTTACGATCAAGAATTAAAAATTGATACTTCAATATGTTGGTGAACAATTGAGCATTTGGTAACAGTGATGCTCAACATCTCTATAGGTACTTTCACAGTTTTCCTTTGGGAGAATGATCAAACCTATAGTCTCTAGAACCAACTATAAAATTGATGATTGCGTAATAAATCCCATTTTCAGTGATTGGTGAGTGTTATGAGGGCACTAAAAATCGCTTCTGTACATGGCATGTGCCCAATAAATTATTACTTTATTCATTCATTCATTAAATCATGTGGGACATTTAGCGCAGTCGAATCAAATAAATTATGCGTTATCTCCATGCGTAGCTTTTTAAAAAATCAATTTTCGGCGCCTTTTGTAATCCCTATGAAGCCAATTAGTCTGTGCATCTCTGAAAGTAATAATAAATATACTGATGATAAATAGAGAGGAATGCGTATTCACAGCTGAAACTTAAAATGAAGGAAGAAAAAAAAATGCAATCTAAATTGGGAACTTCTGAATAGCACGGTACTAATTTGATTGCTTTTACTTGAAATTGTTCTTATACGCATTCGAATTTGGTTTGTAAATTTCTAGAGCACGACCACGCACTTTCGGACCGTTAGCGAATTGATTAACTGAAAGAATCGTGAAATGTCTGTTAGTTTTTTCGTATTATTTTAGCTATTTTAAGTAGATTTCTAAACCAAAAGCGTTACGTGTTGACTCGCGCGTAAACTAAATATTTGATGCGATGGCAAATTGACGTGTTTGATCTAATGAGATTTTCATGTAGGTATATATTGGTTGCCTTTCGTTTATTTTGATTTGCGGAAGGTTTTAGCAGTAACTAAACAAATCCAGTTACCTACATAACAACCCGCTCCTTTTAGCGATTACGGAATAGTAATTATAATTCAGGCAATTAATATTCATGTAGTCATCACTTCGGTGCGCACCGCTTGCGATTAATGTCCAGAGGATGGGTGATTTGACCCAGTAACCCTGGCATTGCAATCATGGGACATGTCTGACAATGTGCGTTCAAGCATACTTATTGATAATGCGTAAGAACATTGCGCTGAATATTAATGACTTATTGATATTTGAATTTGAATACGTTCCAGTCATTCATTTTAAGATGGTATTTGATAGCAACTGCTTCTGTTACAGGTGATGGTTCACAGCACTAGGAACAAGGATGGAACGCTTTAACAAGAGCTTAACAAAAGGCCGTCCAATATCTACAGTCGATGCGGCGAAGGCGAACGATGCATTCGACCACTTCATTAACGCAGGCACCTTAAAGTCAGTATTCGGATGTTACCGAAACATTTGCGAACTTTTGCATCTCAAGCCGAACGTTTTTCCGCAATTTTATCCTAAATTAAAAGACAACTTAACGTCTTGGAAGGCAAAAGCGCTATGGAAGAAATTTGACGCGCGCGCTAGTCACAAATGTTACGCAAGAGGGAAAATATGCCCGAACACCAGGGTGCTTATTATAGGAGCCGGCCCTTGCGGATTGCGTACGGCCATCGAGGCGCAACTGTTGGGCGCCAAAGTGGTACGTAAAATCTCTCACTCGCATCCCTCGCTCACTTGGTACTTACAGGTCGTGGTGGAAAAGCGAGATCGTATGTCGCGCAACAACGTCCTTCATCTTTGGCCCTTTGTGATTGAAGATTTGCGCGCATTAGGCGCCAAAAAGTTTTTTGGTAAATTTTGCGCCGGTGCCATCGATCATATCAGTATTAGGCAGCTACAGTGCATTCTTCTCAAGGTGGCGCTACTTCTCGGAGTCGAAGTGCACACGGAAGTCAGCTTCGAAAAACTTGTGGAACCGAATAGTAGCGAAAGTAAGTGGTTCACGCGGGTCGGATAAGTCCCCCACCCCTCACCCACATTCGTTACGCTTTGTGCTGCTCCAGCCAACATAATTTTTGTGCTATTTTATTAATTTAGATAATCGCAATTGTATCTGGGTGGAGTTAATTTGGTCACCTCCTGTACCATGTGACCAAATAAGAATGGCACACATGTATATAGTCCAGGGAAGTAGCAAGTGCTTTTCTGTAAAATTTGGTCTATAAATGTGGCGAGGAAATGGTGAATTTTTAGTTTCATAAATCACCGCGGTGGGTGCCAAACAGCACTCCAAATCATAATGGAATGGTATATCAGAAAACGATAAGTACAATGTTGCGTGTCAAGAAATGTGCTTGAAAAATGCTGAAAAAGGGCAGGGAACATGAAAACTCTGTCTGGGTCGCACAATGGATTCAAATAAACACAATTAATTGCTTGACAATAACATTTATTCAAAAAAAAGGAAACAAAGTTTGTTTGGACATATTACCCCGCACGCACGCGGCGACAATTAAAATAACTGTCCACGATACAAAGATATACGGGACAACTTCGGGATATGCCCGATATGGGAAGGTAACTTTTAGCAGCGATGAACTGTGTTGAAGGGTGATTGGATTTTTCCAAAGTGTGGAAATGTTGCACAAACTGTGATATAATGGCTGTCTATTTAATTGTTATTTATTGTTGTGTCAGTTACCAACTTTGTCATATCGAAAATATTGTATTGTATGTGAGTCGACCTACCTGTATGTAATATCCTATTAGAACGAAGTCTGTGATATTTTGAGCAAATAGGCAAATGGCCATAGAAGCCGAAGGTGGGGTTTTAGTGGGTATGCCCGAGTAAGGGAGAGCCCCACACTACTCCAGACCTCTCAACCTGGAGTGTGCATAAGGAGCATTTCCCCACCTATCAAAAAAAAACAAAAAAAAAATAAAGAAATCTTATAATTACTTAGAGTACATCCAAATAAACAATGTTTGCGATACTTGGCGCAACAACACTCGCGGACAACGGACCACCCTGTACATACAGAAGGAAAAAAAATTTATTCTTTAAAAGTTGCTGAAAATGATTTAAAACGTCGAAATTTGCAAAATCACCCAATTAAGGAAATGTATGTTACTAGGTAAATATAGAACAATTTTTAATGGGGGGATGGGGGTCCTAACCTCACTGAAATACTATTGCGATTACCTAAATAATTGAAAGAGACCAACACTCATATTGGCTGGCATATTACATTTCTTATGTTATGATACTGCTAACAGGTGTCAAAACTTCGGTGAGAGGAGGCCAACTTTTGAATTTGTAAAGTGATTTCTTTCAGAGATCGGATGGCGCGCGGAATTCAAACCGGTCGAGCACCCCGTCTCCCAGTACGAGTTCGACGTAATTGTAGGGGCGGACGGTAAACGAAACACATTACAGGGCTTTAAACGGAAAGAATTCAGGGGAAAACTAGCCATTGCGATTACGGCGAATTTTATTAACAAACGCACCGAGGCCGAAGCACGCGTGGAAGAAATTAGCGGGGTCGCTTTTATATTTAATCAAAAGTTTTTTAAGGAACTGAATGCGGAGACTGGAATTGATTTAGAGAATATTGTTTATTATAAGGACGACACTCATTATTTTGTGATGACCGCGAAGAAACTAAGTCTGATCGAAAAAGGGGTCATTCTTCAGGTTCGTATTGTTATAAATCTGCGCATCGCGCGTCATTGCGAATTTCAGGATTATCCCGATACCGCCCGCTTGCTGTCTCCAGAAAACGTCGATAGGGATAATTTAATGGAGTACGCCAGGGAGGCCGCCGAATTTAGTACAAATTATCAAATGCCCGATTTGGAATTCGCCGTTAATCATTACGGACAACCCGATGTGGCCATGTTTGATTTTACATCAATGTATGCAGCCGAAAATGCTTCAAAAGTTATCGAAAGGCATGGATATAAGCTGTTTATGATTTTAGTTGGCGATAGTTTACTTGAGGTAAGTACTGAACAAAATTGATTTAAAAAAAAGTTTGATATAATTCATATCGAAACATTTTTTAAGCCGTAAAATAGGAAGGTATAGGTATTTTTCTTTTTTAGAAATGAAAAAATTTTGAATCTGTTTTATAACTTGCTTCAACAAGCACAATTTTCCCTTATTAGTAGTAGCGCCATCTATGATTAAAATTTCAGAAAAATATCTCAAACATACTGGCCAGGAAAATGTCTTCTAAGTTTAAAACCACTAATGGGAGTTCAATAATTGTTCTGGTTTGATCGCCTGTTTTTGACAGTTGTGACAGAGTACGTCTATGGTTTGTTGCAAAAACTATTACATGAGACATTTTCCTCTATTTAACTTTCTGCATACTTTTCGAATTTCTGTGCGAAGTCAAAATTAGCCATATTCATTTGGCGTGTTTGTTAACAGTTCATGTGGGGCTATACTAACTTATCAAGTATATTCATGCTAAAAACGGAAAGCCACAGCCACTACCATCAGAGAATTTATTGAATGTCCATTATAAAATTGGGCTCGCACAAAAATGCAAATTCAAATACCTAAGAAATCCACAAAATGTACACAACTGCACTCAAATTAAAAAATTGAAAGACTTAAAGTAGGTAAAAAAGAACGACAACCACAAGAAGGAAATTGAAAATACAAGAATTTGGAAGAATTAAGAACTTATAAAATCAATAACACTCGCAAGAAGAATAAGAAGAAATTTAAAATGATTTTAAAAAATCAAATTCAATTGAAATTTTCGGAATAATAACGAAAAACAACTCTTAAATTGGAAGAAATAAAAATTTATTAACATTCAGGCAAAAAAAAAGAAAAATTTTAAATTTCAAAAAATTCAAATCAATTTAAAGGAATTAAAGGGCGGGCAATCTCTCGTCTTACGGTTCAGTGTGTCTGATAGTTAATTTCCATGGAAATAAATGTGTGTATACAGGCTGTTTCACGCAAACCGTTACCTAAAAGTATTCAGGATCTCATTGATAATTTAAATCTGAAAATGTACATGCCAATATAGTTTTTCATGATCTATCGAAAGTAAATATTATCATGATTGTTTCACTTTCGGTTTTACCCCACATGGATAGCAACTTTCTCATTTTAAATAGAACACCCTCTATTTCATCGCATTTTCTACGTAGTTTTGATACCACATTTCCCTATAGGTACAGTCAAAAATCTTCAATAACTTGAAAACGTTTAATACTGGGTATAGGGAATGTCGTATCAAACCACGTAGATTTTTATGGAGATTTCAAAAGTCTTATAAAATACACGATGTTCTATTTAAAATAAGAAAGTTGCAGTCGGCAGCAACAACCCGCATGTGACGTCGACGGAACGGACGGATTCGAGCGTCACCAAGGGCTACGGCTTTGCCCATGGTCAAGGTCAACGGCACGCATGAAATTTCTAAATTCATACTTCTAATTAACCCCCATTGTCTCTCGAAATTTCTCAGGTCAGAAAAAGGTCTCTTACCAAACTGATAACGTCGTAAACCTACATGACCTTGCTGATTTAATGCTCGTTTTCATATACCATTGCAAACTAAAATCTGCTAATAATGGCTTAACTGAGCTGAAATTCTAAAATATGAATTCGCCCTTTTCTTCTAAATGACAATTGATTAATTGAAATATCTTAACGGGAACGGTTGCAAACGGCGAATTAATTACAGCTTTTGTTTACAGTAACGGCGTCTGAAACAAAAAATTAAGTCAATTGCCTTTACTTACTATCTTCAACTCCTAGAACCAACACAAAGACTTTCGGCACGACACTTTTCTTAACGAAGCGCCTCCGTATAAACCTTTGGTAGTCGTCGTCTAGTATAAAAACGTCACGTCAATCGTCGCAGATCGCCACCTACTGCAAAACAGGTCGCTTTTGTGCTCAAATTAAGCTGTTATATTTTTTTCTCTATCTAGCCCATGCGAAGAGAAAGACAAAAGTTTTGCAGTGGGCGGCTCCCTGCGTGATTTACGTGACGGTTTTTATACTAGACGATGTCTAACAATAAACTGAATAGTATTTTCCTATCACTGCCGGTTACACATCCAAAATTGAAATGGCACTTGTATATTTTTACATGTTTGAATTTCACAGGAAATTCTACATCTGATATGTTGTTTTTGATAATTTATACGAGGTTTGGTAAAAATTTATCAGTACCTAACTAACTTATATGCTAATATAAAGAAAGAAGAAAAAAATCATTTACTTTTCTTAATTAACCCTCGATTTAACCATAGATTAGCATATAATTTTAGCATTAATTGAAAACTATATACAGAGCGCCTCAAAATATCCAGGTGTGCCACTATGGACTATTTGAAAAAATTGACTTGACAGCACAAAACTAATTTTGACAATTTCAAAATTGTTTAAAATCCTTGTTATTGAATTGGATATGCAAAATGGATTTTTTAGTACCTAATGTAGAGTTCATGAAGAACCATGTAAGTCCATTCATGGCCACCTAGATTAAAAGAACTGTAATCAATTTTTCGACCAACCTCGTATAAATTACTGAAAGCAGGTCTAAAATGGTAGAATCCAAAAAAGTATTTAAATTTCTAAATTTTGGGTCACTTACAGTCAAACTGGAAGTGATAAGGCACCTATGTAATCCTTAGGGTATTATTTACTGTTCTACATGAGCAGTAACGTAACATTGGTATAGGTAGCACTCCATTTAAAATGATGATACAAAAAAATCGTTTTATGACTACAAATTTTGTTATAGCCCTTTTGGCCCACCGGCTCAGGATGTGCCCGTGGGTTTTTATCGTCCTTGGACGCTTGCTGGGCTATAAAAGGATGGGGTAGCGGACTATCCACTCCGTTAGAAGTACTAGCTGAAAGAGAATCCATATATAGGTTACTTGCTCAAACTACACCAGAAAATTTAAATAAAGACTGCAAAGCATACACTGTCGATCCTAGCACGCGCTATCCAAATCTTAATAAGTCTGCTCTCCTTCCACAACAAGTACTAACGCTGTATGACACTGACGATCCAAACACCATCGAGTTAACGTCTAGGGCGGCACAACCGTTTATAAACGAACTTCACAGAAAACGAAGAAAGCGAGGTTTGTTACTGACTGACGTCTAGTGTGTCTCACTTTTCTGTTTTAGACCTACATCTCGACGCAAATACACTCATTGGTTGGATTAAAGAACAAATAAAGGACTACGACGACCTATTAGTGGAAGACCTCACGAACTCGTTTAGGGATGGCAGAGTCTTGTGTGCGATACTACACCATTATCGACCGGATTTACTCGATTACGGCGCGATAAAGTCGGAGGACGTCGCGAAGAACAATCAGTTGGCGTTCGATCTGCTCGAAAAGGAGATAGGAATATCGCCGATCATGACTGGCGAGGAGATGGCCAAGCTGGAAACGCCTGATTATCTGACGATGTTCTCATATTTGACACAAATATATGACACATTTAGGGGTGAAATACCTCACATCAAACATCCTAAATTGGTAAGTGATTATTTGTTATTTGGTTGTGATAATTTCAAATTGCCTTTTTTGTTTTAATAGGTGTAATTTTTTCAAATTGAAATTTTTAAAAATATAAAGCAAGAAAGGAAGGGACAGTAGTTTTTTTGTATGAATACACGAGAAGTAAAAATTAAAAAATTTCTAAACAAAAATTAGTAATCGTTACTTGGTTCAAAAAAGGTACACTAAGAGATAGTTCAAACGTATTGAAAATCTTAAATATTGATGATATTTGGTGTAGTAGGAGTTTTCTTAGTTGGCGCGCACGTCATCAGTGTATTATGACGTCATCACTAAGTATGTTTACATAGCGTCATGCAATCAATGGAAGAGAATACGTAGGTAGACAGTCATACAGACAGTGCTGCATTATGTGGCATTGACCAATTACTAAAAAAATGTTTCAGTTGTCTATGTCGCGGTGGACATTGTGAATAGGACGTAAAGAAAAATTAAAACAAAATAATTTTAATTGTTTTTTCGTACGCCCGCGGCAAAAGTAGAGAAACGACTACAATCTAGACTTACCCAATCTCACAAGCAGAGTTACTTTCATGTCAAAATGACGGACGTTTCGCGGCGCTTTGGAATCTAGATAGCAGTTGATGTTACAATTGGCGGTTCTTTTCGTACGCAAATGGGAAAAGAAATTGAATAAAAACTCATAATTTTGTGCATAAGAAAAGACCAGAACATATAAACTAAATTACGCACGCAACCAGGCGATGTCAAGAAAACCTTCTTTGGGACAAAAACCCTGGCATAGTCCAAATAAATACACAAACTAAATGAACAAAGCAAAAGAAAATCCACGAAATACTTCAAATTTTGTAACAATAAAAATCATGTCACGAGTTTCAAGGTTCTAGGAACGTTATATTTTTTTCCAAAAACATGTATGTGCATCATTCCACGTGGTTGTTGAACCAGTCTGTCGAACTGTACCGAAAGAAAATATTATCATAATCGTTTCACTTCCGGTTTTAACGGATGTGGATAGCAAGTTTCTTATTTTAAATAGAACACCCTATATTTTATTGCATTTTCGCAATCGACATGTTTTAAACCACATTTCCCTATACCCAACATCAAAGGCTTGAAGTTATTCAAGCGCACCTATGACGCCGTTGACATTATTTTTAAAAAGTCAATACTGACGTGATGATACGTGCGAATGATTTAAATTTCTACAGGGTGTTTTCAAATTGGTGGTCAAGTTTAATAATTTCAAACCTTAAAAACTTGATTTTTTCAAATGGAACCTGCTTGATTTTTTTGCATTTTCAAATGTCCAAAAAAATTAAATCGATCAAATATTATATCCCTTATACCTATCTGATATGGTTTTCGTTTTATTTCAGATTTTCTAAAATTGTGACCGTTATATGCACAACTTTCTTAGGAGGCCTTGAAATAAATGCGTTGGCAGATCTGTCAGACATTTTTTTAATGGTTATAATATTGTTATCATTTGTTGTTCATGATAGTTAAATAAAGATGAAATCAACAACAGAAACAGGTTACAATAACAAACGACAAAATAAAAAACAAAGATTAATTGAGGCTTTGTTTAATGTGGCAGTTCTTCACAAGAAACAACTTTTTTTTATAAGACTTCACACAGAAGAGTCCAGAGTAGCGTTATATCTGGAGATCTAGAAGACTAGCGCGGATCTGCAGACCTAATCCAGCTGTCTTCAAAAATTGAAAGTGCAAAAAAATAAAGCAGGTTTTGAAAAAGCAACTTTTTAAGGTTTGAAGTTATTAAACTTGACCATCAATTTTAAAACACTCTGTAGACGGGCGCTCAAAATTAAAATGATTTGCACATTGCATCACGTCAGTATTGTTGACTTTGGAAGACTTTTTGAAATTCAAGTCAACGGAGTTATACTTACTTAACAGGGGCCTAAAGAAAAGCAGTCTTCAAACGTCAAAAATTTTGAAAAATCTTGAAAACCTTTGATGCTGGGTATAGAGAAATGTGGTATCAAACAACGTAGATTTTCATGTAGATTTCGAAAATGCAATAAAATATAGGGTGTTCTATATAAAATATTGCCATCCACATCCGGGAAAACCGGAAGTGAAACGATCATGATAATATTTTCTTTCAATGGATCATGAAAAACTACGTTGGTGTGCAAATTTTTAGATTTAAATTTTTAATGGAAGTCTAAATACTTTTAGAAGCATCCTGCCAACATATCTGACTGATAGAGATATATTTTTCACCGTAAGTAGAACACTGCACATGCGCAGTAGCATCCGAATGTAAACAGCTGATAACCATAGGCGTCACAAAAATGGTTCACTTCATATTAAATTACAAAGTACATATTTTGTAACTTACCCATGGAATGAAATTGCACTTTCTGTAGTACTATGTTCACGACAAATGAAACACAGCATTCTAATTATTACTTTCATAAAAACTACTCATATTTTCTACTGTAATAGCACCATAAACCCCTTTATGTTCTACTGAAATGCTGGGAATGTCAATTGCATTGACAACGCAGTGCGCATGATCGGTATTCTACTGTTGGCTATCTCTCTCACATGTTGGCACATGTTTAGTGACTATAGGCTATTTCTATGGAATATATATTATGATCTAAGACAATTTCGATTGACAGGTAGGTAACCCGAAAACAAAAAAAAACCTTTTTTTCTAAAGGTTTTTGGTTTTATTTTTTAAATAACGCACAACTCTGCCCCAAGAACCTATATTTTGTGAAATACATTCATCAGTCTAACATAACACGTAATTCCAACGTTTATTGTGGATTAAAATGATTTTTTTTAAATTTTGTTAATACGTTGGCATTACATTATTCCGCAAAAATAGAATTGATGACGTGCGCACACAAACTAAAGAAAATCCTACTTTAAAAATGTGTCTACAAGTAGTTAAATCATAAGATCAATCTTTCAAAATCATCTGCAATCAACTGCAAGATGAATGAAATGCTACATAATTTTAACTAATTAATTGTCAATTACACTGACAAATTTAAGCGGAGCTTAGCTTAAGCGTAGCTTAAAATCCCTGGCAGTGATTATTGTGACAATGGTTACCATGGATTTTAAGACACGCTTAAGCTAAGCTCCCAAATTTGTAGGTGCAACCGGCCGTAAGTGGTGAAGTAGTGAATTAAGGACTAATTTGTTATTTGATGTACGTAAATGGTAAATAATGTCGTTTTTGTTTTAAAACAGATCTCACTGTTACCGTCCTGCTCTTCAACACCTTCCTTACCCTTTTCCCCAAATGCAGCTGTGTTTAGTGAAAAGCGTCATTGCAAATCATCAAAGATAAAAATAGCAAAGAACCTACGAAAACAAAGAGCAAAATTATGCTCTAAGAAAAGATTAAAGTTGACAAACCCTTCGCATTCTACTTGTAAGCAACAGACAGAAAATTTAAATTGTGTAACATGCTATGATGAGAATTTCCAAGAAATTTGTACAATTAAGAATTCCCGCAACAATAAGAAAGGGGCGAAAAAAAAGAAAAAAGTGGCCAAAAACATTGTGTTGCGTCATTTAGAAGAGAGTCCCAGAATGACAACGTTACAGGAGTTGACATTACGAGTTTCGTCAAATAATCTTCATATCTCCGTCCAACCTCCGGTTATAAACAGGAAACGGTGCTCTGGCGAATTAATCGAAAACAAGACAGTGTGTGACACTGAATTGTGTCACTTTTTGAAGGGATACTCCACATTAAAATTTTTGTATGCTGGCAAGATGAATGATTCAGTTTCTCCCATGTTGGATACTGAACATAAGGTCATTGATTGGATAAATGCAACTACATTTGAAAATCGCGTAAAGATTCCACACAATGAGGTACAAGAGACTAAGACTGTGCTTGACGAAACGGAAATTCAAAGTGAAATAGAGTCACCGCTCATTGAGAGCATGATGCACTCCATCAGCGACGTAAACATTTCCAATATTGTACAAGGAAACTGTGCTCCACACCAAGTTATTACGGAAATATGGGAAAAGGTTTCTACAATGCTTGAAACCGATAAAATAGTAGGTTGCCTCCTGTACATTTGCCTTGTATCTTTCCTCTCGATTTCCTTGTACTGTTTCGAAATTACCAGCATTGTTCTCTTTTGCCCTTATTAAACGGTTTGGGAATAAAGTTGTTTTTTGTCATTGTAGGATTTATCGGAAGTTAAAGAGAATATAAGAGAAAAGACGATACCGACTATCACCGCCCGCATTAACGATGGCTTCGCAAGTCGGTTTAACATTGGCAGATCGAAACGTCACGCGGAAATGTCATCGAGCAAACCAGCGACGACAGAAAGGAAAAATAAGAAGAGAAGGTCGTTTGAGAAGTACGACATGAGTGTGGTAAGTAACTTTGGTTAATCGTATAGTTGGGTGTGGGGTAGGTCTGTTTCCATAATTTATCCTTTCCTATATTTCCTTGCACAAAGTTGTTCAAATAGATATCTTCTGTCTAATTCTTCTAAACTTTATTTTCGTGTTTTATCATAACGCTCACTTCCTAGTGTGCCATATAGCAATCCGAACAGAATATCAATCAGTTTACATCCCTTGTTGATACCCTGGGCATACTTAATTTCACTTTCAGATATGGATTTTTGAATATATTTCAATTTTCACATAGGACTCTTTGAATGTGTCAGTTTTGACAGGAGTCTGATTTTGACAGGAGGCAGGAAAAGTGTTTCTGCCACTACCATGGAAACTAAAATTTTCTGGCGTAAAGTAGGCGTGAAAATGAAGGTTTTATAGGCTGGTCAATCTATGCAGTGAGGTAGAAAAAATTAGTAACAAAGTGATCTCTGCGGAAATGAGTACTCAATAGGGTCCTTATTAATCCCTCAAAAATCGCACTTTGTCGCATTGGTGGAACTTGGAAAAAAATGGCCGCCATCTTGATTTTTTTCGAATTTGTTAAATATTTCGTAAAGTATACATTATATCAAAAAAACTCTAGAGACTTTTTTATGGAGAATCAAAAGTGACCTATAATAAAAAAAAGTTTAAGTCGATTGATCAAAAAACAAAAAAGTTATTGAAATTTATATGATTTGGCAATATGGATTTTTAAAAAATCTTGATATGACAATCGAACTACAATTCTCCCTCCTAAATTAAGTTCACAATTAAATAAAAAGGCAGTTACGGCGCGTTCGGCGCTCTTCGGCGCTTAATGCGGTCGAAAAACAAAACAAATCGCTCACGTGACTTTTGCAGACCTTCGGGGGAAAATTTACCACGGCGCCGTCGTCCAAGTTGCCTCCTCGCGGTAAGCGGAATAAGAAAGAAAAAAACATGCCCGCAGGTACGTACGCCGATTCCGACCTCGAATCTCTTCGCCGGAACGCGCTTTTCAAAAACTCCGGTTTTTCTCCTCGGGCGACCCACGACCCCTCGTCTCGTAGATTTCGTCGAGATCTACAATCGCGCAATTGTACGTTTCGCTCTAACTCTAACGGTTCGACCTGTAGAAGACGTCAAAATTGAAAAATGCGAAAAATGCCTCCTTCGCGATCGGCGCTCCGGGTCGCGCCGTTTCCGCACCGGGGTGTCACTTTTAATCGCAC